ATATATATATATATATATATATATATATATATATATATATATATATATATGTATATATATAGTATTTTAAAGTTTTTCCTAATATCAATCAACAAATAAAAGACGTATTCAAAAAAAAAAAACATTTATAGAGAGAAACAGGCTATATATTTATTACAAACTACATTTAACTATATGTTAGTTATCTCACAAACGATTAAACAGGGGCGCACAGAGACTTTATGATGTCCGGGGTATTTTATAAAAAAATTTACTGGATGCTCTCCCCCCCCCTCTGACCAATACCAAAATAAAAATAAGAAAACAAAGCTCTTAATAATAAATTAATTTTTATAATTTTTTTATTTTTCTAGTTCTACTTCACAAAATAATTTAAAAATTCTGTATTTAAGTTGAAAAATCAAACAATTATACAAAACCAAGGAAAAAAAAATTTCTGGATTTGATATAAATATTTTCTGACTTTTACCAAGACTTCATGAACTTTTCTAGCAGTAAAATTGGAAGTTACAACATCGTAATTAACTTTCTTTGCAAGATCTGTTTCGATTAAAGGATAAGACAGTCGCCAGGACAATTCTGTCCCATGGTAGTTCCTAGAGTGTTCTTGACGAGAGCTAACTTGATAAAAGATCTCTCGCATTCAGTCACAGTGATGTCCGGGGGAAACTGACCCGGATCCCCCACCCTCTGTGGACCCCTGCGATTAACTGTAATTAAATACCTAAAGTATTGTTAACCATATTAAATACATGATTATGAATACTTTAGGTAGTTCTTTCGTCATTACTTTTGATAGCGTTACCGCATCAAACATTATTTAAATGCCGAAACCATTGTAGACTGCGATTACCAAATTTGTTTTTAAGAATTTAATGCTCATTATGAAAATTGCACCTTGTTCATTTGAACAAGATTTTTTTTCTTTATTGATCAACTCATAACGTTTACTTTTAATTTGTCTTTTTTTCGGTGCAATTTTTAATTTTAATTTTTGAAGCTACTTTTTCATCGTTTTAATTGAGTTTTTTTTTTCATTGAGAACTTTCACCATTGTTTAAGACTGTAAAAGTGTTTTCGAAAGCAGTTGGCAACAACACTTTTAAAATAGCATCTTGAAGACTACGATGAAAAGAGTCTTTTATTTGCTGTTGTCACCAGCACTCTTAGCTTTTGATGGATCTAACCAGCACTCTTTTGCCAGCTATTGAGGGATCAAAGAAATAAATGCCTAAAGATCTAAAACTAGATTGTAAATATTATTTTTTACTGAGTTAAAGTAATCTCTGAAAAATTGTGTCTCAGTAAAGATGAAATCTTAGTAAAAATGAAGTCTTATTGATTAACCTACGGAAAGATTCTTAGTAGATATTCCACAAACTTGCCTTATTGGTTTCAAAAAACCGACGTCTAAAAACGTGACGTGATTAAGGGAATTTTAGCTGAATTTGGAAAAATAGGTGTTATTACTAGATATTACTTGCAGACTTTCATTGATAACCTAATTTTCAAAAACAACTTTACACTAAGTTTTGTGAAGATTTTTTGCCAAACTAGTTGCGTTTCCACATATTAAAATAAAAAGCATAATTTTGCCACAAGAAGAATTTAAGTTGCGAGTGTAAAGTACGACAAATGTAAAAAGTATCTTTAAAAACATCTCTTATTTCCTTTATGAATTTAGAATACATCTAAAAAAATATTTATTCAGCCATACTATTACGTCAGAGTTATCATGTTAGCCATCTCAACAGTCTTTATGCGGTTTCAAAAAAATTTGTTCCGTTTATTACTAAAAGAGACTTAGGTCTTAAAATTGTTAAAACATCTAGATTTCTATTACGTATTCAAAAAACCCGTCTTTTTTCGAAGCCTATTAAGAGGTCGTCACTAAAAGGTTGAAAATATTCCGCCATCACAACTATCAAAAAACATGCAAAAAGGATATTAAAAGCAAATTAGTCTCTGTTAATTTTTAACAGTTATAAAAGTAATACAATAAATGTTATATCAACAAAATTAAAATACCTAGAAAATTTTGTTTATTCGTAAAAATTCAAGTAACTTATTTGAGTGCTTGACTAATTTTTTCTAAACTAAAAAAACAAACAAAAAAATGCGTTATTTCAACAGAAACTTCAATCATTACATTATTACATAATAACTGAGGTTTAATTAATAAATCAACTAGGGAAAATTCGGGTAGCCCCGGACACTTAAGGAAAAAATTGTACACATGTACTAACAGTAAACAAAGTGTCGAAAGTCTTTTTCAAAAGTATAAACATTTATCTCTTGAGTTAGAAACAAAAAAAATTATTATTGTGTACCTTAATAATATACAAAACATAAAAAAAAAATGTTAGAAAAAAGTCATGTTTCAAAATAAAAATAGTAATGCATTTAATATAATACACAAAACCATAATAAGAATTCACTTAATTCCAATGAAAAGATTTTAGATTTGAAAAAGTGTTTTTTAACTGTTTATTTTCATTAGTAAAAAGCTAATGTTTATATTTCTAAACTATGACATTTTCCTTTCCATTCCATATATATCAGAGGGAATTTTTTCCCCCTACTTCAAATTTATAAAAACTATTAAAAAAACTCAACTACTAAAAACTTGACTAATTACTTATTAAATAAATAATGATAATAATCAAATAAATAATAATAATAATTAAATAACGTATATACTTAAACAACAATACTTCGCTTAACGCTATTTTTCCTATGCCACAATTCCGGTGGAATACATGCTTTTTTTTTTCTTTTTCTTTTTTATAAGCATATGAAATTTTTGAAACAGGCTCGGGTATGCTTAATGAAAAAGTTAAAAGAGGCTTAAAAATATGCTTAAGCATATTTCTAATAAAATGTGTACGCGTAACTAAAGGTATAATCGGTATAAGAAAAATAAAAAGTTGACTTATGCTATATACACACATCACAAAAATAGGTTTTAAGTTTCAGGTCAGTGTTCCCCAAATATTTTTATGGAACTTTTATCTGTGGCTCTTCAGGATACTGTATCTAGAAGCTTAAAAATCAAATGGTAGTCGTTTTTAAAAAAAGTGATTTTAAAAAAAAAAATTTCTAATGCAAGGCCATTAGTAGATAAATTTTGGTCGTTTGGAAGCAGCCGTGGCGCAGTGGTAGCGCACTTGCCTCAGAAACGTAAGATCCGTGGTTCAAACCCCACCTCTGTGCAAGTTTTGCGACATCGGTTGGGAAGGAGGCGTGAACTTCCCATTAAATGCTCTTCCGCGGTGCTCTGTGATAAGACCGTAAGGACTTCTTAATCACCTTAATCAACTTAAAAAAAAAAAAAAAAAAAAAAAAAAATTTTAAGTGTTTAAGATACTCTAAACATTGATATGTTCATGTTTATGTCAAATAAGGATACTTTGCAAAAATATGTGACGATTGGAGCTTGGGAAAAAAACAACCTTAACGCTAGCCCCCCTGTCCATAACGCAAACACAACAAGTTTGTATTTAAAAAAATTTCATTTCTATTAACTCAGTTTAAATTCATCAATGAATTTTAAATTCCATGCAATAATATCTGAGTGTTCAAAAATTATGACCATATAAAGTTCGAATCCCCCTCAATTTGAGGGGACAATAAACTTTGGTGGGTCATAACAACGGAACACTAAGAGATTATTCCATGAAACTTGAAATTTGTTAATGAATTTAAACTGAGTTAATACTAGTGATTTTTTTAAAATTTTTTTACTTGTTATGGGTAGGGGGCTAATCTTTAGTGATTATTTTGTTCCCAAGTTCTAATCATCACAAATTTTTCAAAGTGTCGTTATTTGACATAAACATGAAAATATCAATGTTTGGAGTTTCCGACATGTCTAGAAGTTAGTTATCTCAAACAAAAAAAAAAGTTGTATTGGCCTTGGAATGGAGTGAAATTTTTTTTTGAAGGGGAGAAAAAATGTTAAATTCTTTTAAAAAGACAATTCTTATTATCTTAACTCATATACCTGATTAACTATTCATGTTGCAATAGTTAATCATATTTCTAACATTTGCATAAAATGCAAATGTTAGAAAAAACTAAGATTTTTTTATACTGTTAGCTAACGATTAAAAAAATTATTTGTATTTAATGTTTTAAATTTATAAACATATATCAAAATATCTAAAATTTTTAATCTATAAATTAGTACTGCTGAACGATTCAGCAATTCTTCTGCTTCTAAGAGAGTGCTTTGAGCTTGTTTGTGAAACATTGAATCGTTCAATTATTGGCTTCGTTTTTGAATGAGCTGATTCAGATGCCTGTTCATTGTATCGTCCAAGAGAATGACCAGTAAGTTCACAAAATTGTTGCAAGTGAGCTGAGATTATATGTATTTTCCAGGTCACAGTAAGTTTTTTTCCTAGAAACTAATAAAATATTCTATAAGATAGATAATAATAAAAGTATATTAAAAGTCAATTTAAAGCAAGTTATAATTAACTGTACCATTATAATTAACTGTACCTCAACAACAATACTCCTGTGTGGCTTTGTAGGAACAACCAAAGTCAGTTATGAATATACAACCAAAGTCAGTTTTGAATATAACAACGGTTAAGATAACTTCCGAGGGTTCCTTGAACTAATTTCTCAAATTTTCTTATTGGACATAGAAGTGGTAAGAGTTCAATTGGTAGCCTTAGTGAAAGCTGGTCACAGTTTTTAAGAATAATCTTACATGTATTGCCTTCATATGTTCCCCTTCATGGTATCCTCTTCTAATACATCCAAGTGAGTCGACCCAATCTTTGTATTCAGACTAATAAACAGTTATATAAGTTGATATATGATTTACAAATCCCATTAACATATGAAGCTCCGGCAAAGGTATGACTTCAAGAACTAGTTTTGACTTGTTTCTCTCCTTTATTAGGCATACATTCACCACATTCTATCAAAGTTTATTAATTTGATTACCAATTTTAAAAAAATTATTTTTTCATTTAATAAAAAGATTTTTAAATTTTTAAATTTTCCAATGATAAAAATGTTCTTGTCAACCCACCAAAAAGTTCACATTCTCCTTCACACCAAGCACAAGCATACATACCACCATGAGACTAAATTTTTTTATGTTTTTTTAACATCCTAATTAACTAATTAAAAGTTACATAACAAATTATTTTTAAATCATAACTTACTGAAATTCCTAGAAGAATATTAATTATTTTCAAATCAGCTGCAAGAACATATTTACAATCTTCTAGCTTTAGAAGATCTAATAAAATGGCTAAATTTTTGTGTGTCTCCTGCAAGTTGTCACAATATGCAAGAACTATGGAATGGTTAATTCCAGAGTATGTTCCGTGAGAACTTCGATCTTCGCATCTTTTTTTTTCTGGATCAAAGAGGTTACAAATTACCTTAAGTGATCCACCTCCTACAAAATTTTAATTTTATATTAAAAAATATATATTATTAAGTTCTATATTATATATAGGTTATATATTATCTCTTCATCTAATAATCTTTTTACCTGAATCAATTCCAATTCGTATTAATGTTTGGTAAGGGTTTCTGTAAGTCATTACAAAGTTAAGCAGCTCTGTTAACTGAAAAACATAAACAAAGTCTCTTGACACATCGGTTGACTTTTTTTTTTTTCTTCTGCAAAAATTGTCTTCACATCATAAAATTCAGATAGGAGTTTACTTTTTTGGTAAAGTTTTTTTTCAAGATTTGCCTCAAATTGAATTCCACTTTTCCTTAAGGATTTCAGAAGGATGTGTGATTTGAATTGACTAAGTCCAAGTCAATTAATCATAGTTTCAGTGTCTTTAAATTTGACTTTCCTATTAACTAATTGAGGAACACCAATAGTTATAGGTAATGGAATTCCCAGCTGAATAACAAAATACTTTAGATGATTTAATCAATTCGAAAACACAAATAAATCTAATAAACAAATTACCAGTAATTAGATGGGTCTGGATTCCATGCTTAAGTTTCTTTTTCCTAATAATCGATCTTAAAACATTCGAAGTGACTTTTTTCTGAATTTTTTCCGAAGCATTAAATAACTTAGCAGAAAGATTTGTATACACATTCATTTCAGTACATTGATGTTGAATTCTTTTTTTGATCGCACATAAGCAAACGTTACACATCCTATTAGAACTTACTAATTTCTTTGTTTTTTTCATAAGTGGAAATCTTGATCTAGCCTTTGAACAAACTGTGCATGTTTCACAATTTCTAGTGCTTACACATCTAGATAATTGGGAAGATTGCCATCAAGTTTTAACTGCATTTGGTATGTCTTTACTTTCCTTCAATAAGTTTACATACTTTTTGCATGTTAGAAAAATGTCTACATAAAGTAAATTCATTTTTAAATAATGATTATTTTTAGAAAGAAACTTTTAATAAAACAATTGCATTAGTTAATCATAATATGGAATATACCTGTTGGATAACTGTACACAGATATTGAATATTCAGGTTTTACATACATTTTTATGTAAGCCTCAAATAACTTCGTTACTGGAATATATTTTAAGCATTTCTTCAAACAACAGCAACAAATAATTTTCTGATTCAATTAATGGTCTCGTTTTTCTTTGCTGTTTACTGTTTTGTTAGATAATATATTAGGCATTTTTCTAATAAAGTAGTTTATGTTTAATATTAACAATAACGAAGCAATAATTAGGGTTAAATAAATAAATTACTATATAATATACTATATGAATTACGCTTCCATCAACAATTCTATAGATTTTAACAATTCTATATAATTAACATCTTAAGATGATCAAAATTTAATTGCCTGCAATACTGGATTAACCTTAACATAATTAAAAAGGTAATATTGATTTTTTATAAAGAAAACCTTAACTTTACAACTCTCACCCCCTCCCCTTTTATAAGATAATTTACCAAAGTTTGAAATCGTTTTTCTCAAAAACGGCTACCTTTTGATTTTTAGGCTTCTAGATACAGTATCCTGAAGAGTCACTGATAAAAGTTCCATAAAAATATTTGGGGAACTCTGACCTGAAACTTAATACCTATTTTTTTGATGTGTGTGCTCTGCATGTGCTTTGGTTTAAACTAGCTGAATTAATGTTGTAGTATGATAATAAAAAATAAAACATAGATAGCTAAAAGTGTCTCCACTATCAACCCATTTTCAATGGGTTGATAGTGGAGACACTTTTAGCTATCAAGGCTCTCTGGTTTAACAAGCGAATCTTCTGAGCCATCAGAAGTCATGAAACACCCAGTCATCGTCTAACATTTCTTCCTTTACTTGTCGTACTTCGAAGTGTTTAAAGCTTTCCATGCTTCTTTTGCCCAATGTGTAATCAAAATTTGTATCTCTTTTGTAGTGTAGGGCATTTCATTACTGAACCATCTATCAAAATTATTATCTCTATCAAGCCATTTTTGATGTTAAATGGCAAAAGTCTTTTCAGAGTGGCAGCATATCCTGCGTCAACTGGTTGACAAAGGTCAGTGGCACTTGGTAGACCATACCAGAGAAGTCCTTTAGCAGCAGCCACAGCATCTTTGAGAAATAAAACACTTCAGAGCGAATCTTAAAACTTAATGTTTTTCTGTTCAAGTATTGAGGTTTAGGTTTTGAAACACAATGACTTCATTACTTCATAAAGTTGTTGCGTGGCAAAACATAAACATCGATTTTTGTTGTTTTTGTTGGTTTAAATTTAGAAATATATATATTTAAAAATTTTAATTAAATAAAATGTAAATCTTTTAAATGATTTATCGAAGCTCAGAAATATGCTTACATATGCTTATTATTTTTCCGAATCTGAGCCTCCATATGCTTATAAGCGATATGCTTACATATAAAAAAAAACACATGTAGTTTAAAGTAATACAAATGAAATACTCTTGTAAATTCTGTGTAAAATTTTATAAAATGCTATCATTGTAAAGAAAAGCTTGTTTTACTTTTTGAAAAAAGAGGAAATTGATTAAATAAATAAATAGATCCATCTTCAAACCAAATATTTTTTTACAAATTTAATAATAATAATAATAAAAATAAATTAATTTGTTATTAACAGTATTAAAAGTGTTTGAACTCTAAACGATTCAGATAAAAGATTTATAAAAATGTTAAAATAATTTAAATATTTTATAAATAAATTTTTTTGGAATATTTTTTCCACAGTTTAAAAAGATTAAGTTGTCCACAGATTAAACATCTTTTTAATCCATACTATTGTCCACAGATTAAATATCTTTTTAATCTGTGGACAAAATATTCCAGAAATTATACGAATGAAAGCATTACGTAATAGAATACGCTCTCCCCATAATTCAAACTGTTTTTCTCACAAATAATGACCGAGCGGATGTTGGAAAATAATTCGATTTTTATTTCTTTTTTTGATTTTTAAAGTTAATTTTAAAACCAGGATTTTATTACGAGCGAAAAAAACAGGGAATGCTAAGTACCGGTGTTAGAATATGATGATAGCTTATAGGATGAAATCAAACAAATAACAATTTAATATTTTAGTAGCAAATTTCTAAATAAAAATAAATTACAAATTTAAAAACTAGGAATTACTTAGATATCAAATGTTTTAGTTGCTGATACCCATAAGATTATCCAAGTAAGATCCGAATACTTGACTATCAGGAGGAGGCATTTTAACAAGTTCTTGGAAATCAGCAGTTTGCATTGCATGCAATAACTCATTGCATTTTGTATAATGTAAATATTTTAAAGAAGCAAGTTTCTCAGCTAACTCGATTTGATGATTGTCCATGAGGTCTTCGTTGATCACCACCATCAAAGGCTTATACAGCGCCAAACTCTCTAAAATACTTCCAGCTCCAGCATGACTTATAACTAAGGACGCATTTTCCAAATCATTCTTGATAGAAGGTTTGAAACTATAAGATTCAACCCGGATATCATACCGGCTTATACATTTGGCCAACTTTCCATTACCTGTTTGCAGTAGAACTTTTGTGAAACCTTTCTTTAACAAAAGAGACAAAAATTCTTCTGTAGTAACAGCTTCAATAAGTTTGTCAAATCGAGTTGTTCCAACAGTAACGAACACATAACTTTCACTGTTCATGTTTTCATTTTGACTAAAAAACTGGTAATGGAAAAATAAAACACAAAAAAGCAAGCTTAAAATAAAAAAAAAATGACCTCAACGAGCTTAAATAAATTACATTGATTTAACAGTTTTTTAAATATGGAAAAGGTTTAAACTAAAACCAAATTTCAATAAAATTATAAACTCTATAGAAAGAAAAGTTTTTACATTGCTTTTTATTTGAAACATTTTCTACAAATTTCATATATATATATATATATATATATATATATATATATATATATATATATATATATATATATATATATATATATATATATATATATATATATATATATATATATATATATATATATATATATATATATATATATATATATATATATATATATATATATAAAACATTATTCATTTATTTATAACAATTAACAGGTAAACTAAATACTACACTGATAAAATCCATTTTTCTTGTTGCAAAATCTTCAGCATTTTCTCAAAAATAATGCTTTGCTTAACAGTAGTCGCAGAACCAATTAGAATAAGTTTTGTTTTTGCTCTAGTAATTGCCACATTTACACGCCTCCAGTCTGTTAATAAATCACCAACCTCATTTGATTCGTTACTGCGAACCAGAGAGACAATAATGCACGGTTTATCTTTGCCCTAAACAATTTCAAACTTTATCTACTAACAAACACAAATGTAGCTCAACTTAAATATATTAAATAAGGTAACCGCACAAACTATTAAAAAAATAATAATAATTTCTTATTAGAAAATAGTATAATAAAATAACTACTGTGAGACCACGCGGTTAAATAAACCATTTTACTTAAGGTAATATTAAGTTTAAGTTTTAATAATTCTTATTACTTGATATTTATCAATGGTATCAACTTCCACATTTTCAGCCAAAACTGACAGTTCTTTACGAATAACTTTTAGCTGTTGCCGATAAGGGGAAATAACGCCAATATTTTCTGACTTTAGGCCACAATGAAGAAATCCGCGGACAATATCTCGAACAAGAAATGCTTCTCCATGATTAGTAACACCGTGTGAAGACTTCGATTCTCGAAACATTTCAGAAGAGTCAGTATCAATAAAAACAACAGAGCGTACAGGATCCATGGCTTGCAATATATAATCTAAAATATAAAAAAACATCTTTAGTAAACACTACGCCCTTCTTACAATAAAAATTAAATTTATAATTTTATATATTAGTAGTCATTCTTACAAACGGACAGTATTGAAACAATTTTACCGCGCTATGATTGAATATGCCCAAGCTGTTTTGCTTTTTAGATCAAATAATTCTAAAGTGCAACGAAATTTATCCGCTCTATCCAAAAAGGTAACCATTGTTTTCGAATGAAAATATTTTTATTAGCTGTTGCAGTAAACATTATTCAAAAAAGGCAATTCCAAACAATACAAACTACGTAAACGTAAAATTTATACACACACACACATATGGAAACTATTTGGTCTCTGACTATTGAGCGCGGTACTACCAGGGACGTGGTGGGGATCGAACTTAGAACCACTTGTTTATGAAGCGAGCGCTCTACTACTACACCACTACCGCAAGTTAAAAAGTGACTAGCGTGTTATAAGACCAAGCGATAGCAGCTTTAGAAAAAAAGAGACAAGTTTTCTTAAATGAAATTGGAAAAAAATTTGTCTGATTATCTAGACTCTATATGTTTTCTGATGAGGCAGACTATTTATGTTTTCTCATAAAAATAAAGTAATTTTCTGTTGAACTGAAACAGAAAATATGAAACTGTTGAATTGCTAAGGCTAAAAGCTGATTCATTGCATTATCAAAAAGCTGATTCATTGCATTATCAAAAAGCTGATTCATTATCAAAGAGAATGCTGTATAATTTCACTATTTTTGTTCATGAAATATTTTATCTTATCTTATCAAGTTTCTATCATTAAAAAGTGTAAATCATCAGTTAAAATAAAAAAAAAAAATCATAAAAAAGAAAAAAAATCATAAAAAGTAATTTTTACACGAAATTAACACAATTTAAAACTTTACATTTGCTATCCACAATAACCTTGTCTACCACAAATGATTGTGATAGACAAGCTTTTTGCAGGAAAAAAGGAAGCAGTTTAAACTCAAAAAATATTCGTGAGAGGATATTGTATTGTGTATTCACTAATGTGTGACAGACTGTGTGACAGACTGTGCCACTAACAGATTTGACATTTTAATTGGGAGAAAAGATTATTTAAATTTAAATTATTTAACAGTTATCAACAGATGTTCAGAAGTCAGTTTAAAATGTTTAAATGATATATCCAACCTCATATCTTTTGAAATTAAAAACAAATTACTTTAGATAGTGTTCTATTCCGTTTGAATATACTCAGTGTTCTTCAATGCTTAACTTTGTGTTCTTTAATGTTTAACTTTGTGTTCTTCAATGCTTAACTTTGTGTTCTTCCAACACTTTAAAATCTTAACTACTAGTATACCAACATTTTGAGTTTTCTTCAATCTTTTATTTTTAGAAGTTTAGTGTTTTTAATTGCCTAACTTTTTAAAACACTGTAAAATATTAACTACAAATACCTTGACATTTTGAGTTTTCAGAAATATTTTAACTATTTAAATATTTTTATATTTATTTACATTTTTAATCTTCAGAAAAATATTTTTCTTTAATTATAATGTCCTAAAAATAATTTTTTAACAGTTAAACAAGCTCTTTTTTCAATTAAAAAAAAAAAAAACTAAAAGAGTCGCTAAAAATTTTAAATTTCTTTATTTTGAGACCATAAATAACATAAAAAAAAAAAAATACCTCGATAACTTTCTTTATACTTTTCATAGAGTGGCAACTTAATTCTTGCAGATGCTACATCATCGTTTCCACATATCATAGCATTATTATATATAAGAGAGTTGGTAAGCAGCATTATATCACTGTTCATACGATATTGATGATTCAAAGATATTACAGCTTTTGGGTGGACTTTAGTTAGAAGACAAAACAAACTTACATCTAAACCTTTCTCTCTGAAATAAATACCATTAGTGTAACTACAGACAACAACATTAAACCAACATAAAATTAAAGAACTAATATGAACCTTGCTTAAATTACGATATTTTGGTTTATTAAAATAAGAACCTGGCGACTGGACTCTGCACTAAGGGAGGAAGCTGGTTGTGATCACCAACTAGTATGAAAGCATTTGCATATCTAAGAGGTCCAATGCAAACTGGCAATGTAACCTGTGAAGCTTCATCGACGATACAGTAGTCAAAACACTTGTGCAAGAATATGGGATGACCGATTCCAAGACAAGTAGTAGCAACAACACTCTATAAACAATTAAAGTACTTTTGTTTTAATATAAAACTTTGTTAAAAAATATAAAAACTTCAATTTTGAACTTACAAAAAATTAAATGGATTAATAAAAAACCAGAACATCTGTTTATTATAAAAAACAAAATGGATTAATAAAAATCAGAATACCTGTTTTTTAGGTAAAACTGAATGGTTGAATAAAAAACAGAATACCTATTTGTTATGTAAAAATGAATGAATAAAAAAAACCTGTTTATTATAAAATTCTTTTAGCTGTGCTGTGCTTGAAAATTGTTTTGTTTGCTCTTTATTTGTGAGATGAGCTATTTTACTATGTACACGTGAATTTTCTCCAATACGCAAAAATGAATTAAAACCAGCCTAAAACAGTACAGAGTAGCTTAAAGCAAAAAACTAGCAAAAAAAAAAATGTATAAATGATACAAAAGATGAGTAAAAAAAAGTAAAGATGAGTAAACAAAATAATAACTTTTATAATATTTATTTAATTGACATAAGAATATTGAAGCTTGAGTTGTTTTTAAATATTGTTTTCTACAACCTTTATACAAAAGCATTTCACTTACATCAATAAGCTTCACAAGTATGGTATCCACAGCAGAGTGAGTGTAACTTGTTAAAAGCACTGACTTTCCCATTGATACTAAAGCTCGTACCAAACAAGCAATAGTTGTAGATTTACCAGCGCCAGGCATGCCTATAAATATTGATAACACATTTTATAATAATTTACTAAAATACTAGAAACTTACTTGGAAATTACAACTATTAGATTATTTGTAAATAAAAACAAAAATATTTATAAAAACTAAAATTTTAACCTAGCATGATAAGATAGTCTTCAGTTACTAGGCATTTTTCAATAGCTGCTTTTTGTGAAGGATTTAAATTCAAATAAATATTACTTAATTCAGAATTCAGAACAGATCCAGCTCTAAAACCAAAATGTTGTATTTAACAAAGAACTTTGTCAATTGTTATTATTTTTAAATTATTTTTATTGAAATATTATTCAGATAAGAAACAAATCTTTTTATAATTTAGATAAGTAAACACAATTTGTTAATGAACATTAATAAACAAAAATAAATAAAGCTTATAAATAAATCAAATTTTTTTTGCTCATCAAAAAGTTTAAAGAGTAAACACAAAATCCCATTTTATAGTAGCCTGTATATTAAGCACAGAGATATTACAAATTAATCAAATACTTCCTTTCTTGAATCAGGTGCTTGAGTGAAAAAGACCTGGGTTTCAAAACTTCCATTCAAAACTGGTATAGCACAAGCTATCTGCTAATTTAACATTAAATATAAAACCATAAAACCTTATTCAGCTACTTGCAGTTTTTTAGAGCAAAAAAATTGCCAAAATTTACCTCTCTGATCCATACAATAGAGTTGGTTGCTACTTGACTGCAAAATATATATTTTAGTTTTTGAATAGCTGCATAAACACACACACACACACACACACACACACACACACACACACAAAAACTTGGTAATGCATTTATCTCTTGTGGTCAGTGATGATTTTTTTTTAATTGCTACATAAATAGACAGAGTGTTAGCCATCCCAATACCAATGGCCTGCATATACCATGGAATTCCCAATGTTTTTTTTTTGTTAATAATAGGACAATATCAGTAAAAATTCCCAATATTTTATTCTATTATTTCTAGTAATTAATATTGAATTTTGAACAGCTGTATAAAAACTGAAGCAATACTTTCTTATATTGTTTTGTAGCATTTGTGTCTGCCTCTGAATCTAACTTGTGGTCAGTTTCTTTTTGTATCTTTTAGGTCGATGTCAGATTATGCTATGATCTCACTAAAACTATATTTCATACTTTTTCTACACCATATTTACACTACTTCATTACCCTACTTTATCCTACTACTACATCACCCTACTACATCACCCTACTTCATCACCCTACTTCATCACACTTCATTGATTTTAATTTTTTTTATTGTAAAAATATAAATACATTTGAATCACCTCATTATGTTATACTTCAGTTAAACAGTTTAATATATTTTTTGTTGCTATCAAAACATGAAAAAGTTTCATGCCATGATATTAGCTTAAATCAATTATTCTATATTGGTTGAGTTGATGAGCTTTTCTCTGCTCTTGCATGCCAAGGCCTGATTTTATATTGATTGAGTTGATAAGCTATAATAAAATCTTGGCTACCCTCTTACATCATATCATTTTTTTATTTATTTTTTATATAAAAAAAACTTGGAGTTCTGAGAAAAAAGATGAGCTTAAAGATTACTGAAAACTGGATTTTCCTCTTTCTAAAAAATGGTTCATGCTTTAGATGTAACTGATCACAAATACAATTTGGTACAACACAATTTTCATATATAAAAATTTAGCTGACATCATCAAAATAACTGATAAAAACTGATTATCTGAAAATATATTTTTTATTTCAAATAAAAAATCACTGATGATAGCAATTAGATGATGATGCAATTAATTTCAACAAACTTTTTTTTATTGCTTTAATTATTTACATTCTTATGTATATTTCTTTCATTTACATTCAACGCTTTTTTTTACATTTTAATACTATGACAAATTCACAGTGCCTTATTTTGATATATTGTTACACTATTTATTCCATTTTGGATATTTTATAAATATGTCATTAATTTTAAGAAAAAATTAGTTGCATTTGACTAGAATATTACTATGTTTTTATTCTCTTTAATAATAATTTTTTTGGCAATTCACCTCTCCAAGGCTGAGAAGGCCACAGCAGACCAGGAGGCTACTTAATTGTGGTCATAACCCTCTCTTACCCTCTCTTAACTCTATAACTCCGAAACATGAACCTTGATGAACAAGGCCGCTGTGCTGAAAAACAAGTTGATGTGATGTTTTTAAGTGAGTAGTAGCCAAATAATCTTGTTTTTTCAAATTCTAGAATACCATTAATTACCTGTAATGTAATTAATAAACTTTACTATATATAGTCGAAACATGTCTTGATAAATAAAATGATTTTAAATAAAATTAAAAAATTTGCCTTTTTTAAAAGTAATATCACACTTTGTGCTGAAAAGAAGTTTTGGTTATATATATATATATATATATATATATATATATATATATATATATATATATATATATATATATATATATATATATATATATATATATATATATATATATATATATATATATATACTCTAGAATAACGTTTATCCTAATGATATGTCTGTGATAATAATATATGATTGTATCTTGGTGGTAATGGTAATTGAGTGTCAATAAAAATTATGTATCAACAATATATGTTACTGTGTTTAACAATGAGAAAATAAAAACACGTAATGACAAAAGGGTAAAAATCAAACTTATAAACCATTGTCATTTTTACAGATAAAAAAATAATGTTAAAATAAAAAAAATTATAACATTTTTTAAATCAAAAAATATATTTTTGAGTGAATGCTAGTAAAAGTTTTAGAAAAGTTAACAAGTTGTGGTTTTAATCTATAAACAAAAGAAATAATTTAAAACAAACCCATTGATTGCAAATGGTTGAGAAGGTTTTAACTCTTTGTTTTTATTTACTGAAAACTGTGGCGATTCTTTATCAATAATAAGCCTACGAATTTTTTCATCTCGAGGAGAATCTTTTTTATATAACTTGACAAGTGTACTGAGAGATGTTTTGTAGTTAGTAAGAAAACCATCTTTATCAATTCTAAATGTTGAAGAAACTTGTGTGGAAGCTATTTTTCTATCAACTGAAATTGTTATAGAATTGCCAGATACATCGAGCACGTAGCCTATTACAAAAACATAAAAATTAAGGTAAAATAAAGGTATTCAATAAATCATTTTATAAAATAAAATGTTACTTATAAATTATAATACCATTAATTACCTGTAGCAATGTTGTATACTTTTTTATTTTCTTCACTGACAACAACACGGTCTCCACAACAAAAATGTAACAAGCCAGCACTTTGATTACAAAAAATATAATGATACTTTTGATCAGAAGTTTTGTCTTCACGCACAATATTCATCCTACTTAAGCATTCGCCACGCATTTCACAATGCTGTGAAGTATCAAGCCAAAAGTATTTATTCTTGTTTATCTGTTCGTCATATTTAATTTCTATCATAACTAACTCATACCATTTTTTGAAGAAATCAAGCTGATTATTGTTTATATGATTTGTTAAGTCCATAAATAGTGAGTCTACACCACTAGTATTTGCATTACCATTTTCAACAGCTTTATGGTAAAGCATACAAGTCTGATTTTGAAAACAACGTGCACATTTTCTTTTGTCACCAAGAACACCTGAAAATTTTTTAAATTAAAATTTATCAAATTTAATAATTTATAAGTATATTTTATAGCAGGATCTAACTCCTGACATTGGCAAAACCACTTTCCACCTTAGGATGCAGATATTTGAACATTACAAAAGAGATAAAAAGCCTTATATCTATTAAAGACTCCGCGCTAACCAAAATTATTGAACATGAAATAATTAAACAATGCTGACATTGTTATATTAAAATAGCAATCTGCAGGGGCTTCACTACAAATATTGACCAAGATTTTCGGCAGGCATATACACATTTCAGTTTTTTTTATATATATATTTAAATTTATTTTAATATTTCTATATATATATATATATATATATATATATATATATATATATATATATATATATATATATATATATATATATATATATATATATATATATATATATATATATATATATATATACACACTCACACACTAATAATAAACAATAATATAAATTACTAGGCATATAGAGGTTGTTATTCTCCAATGTTAGCTTTCTAGCAATACTATTTCTTTTTATTATTAAAGCACGTCTTTCTTTTTCAGGGACAGGAATACCTTGTAAATGTTTTGTTTTTAAATAGAGTAGCAGCCCTGCATCTATGCTTTGATTATATTTTTCACTCATTAACATTGTATAGATGGCAACTTGAGCTCGATGTTCAATAGAACCTAAATTAAGCAAATCAAAAGTCAACTTTAGATAAAAACTTCAACAAAAAACAACAATATCCATGAAAAGAATTGTTAAGTTTTTTAATTAAATATAAATATAATGCTTGTTAAAACATAAAATTATTAGTCAAAACTCAATATAATAAAAATAAGTCTAAAAACACAAATAATTAAAAAAAAAAGGTAATATTTTAAAATTTAATTTTAATAAGATAAAATTAAAAATATGAAAAAATACCTGCTTCTGAAAACATTTTTCCTGTTTTGAGTTCCAAAGGGACAATATATTTATTTTTTTTTGGCTTCCGATGCACAATAAGTTCAACACTTACATCGATTTTACCTTTAAAAATATATATATATATATATATATATATACATATATATATATATATATATATATATATATATATATATATATATATATATATATATATATATATATATATATATATATATATATATATATATATATATATATATACATATATATATATACATATATATATATATATATATATATATATATATATATATATATATATATATATATATATATATATATATATATATATATATATATATATATATATATATATATATTAGCATTTCCACGAGAAAGAAGGTAAAAACAAAAAAGTTAGGATAGCACATACTAGCCTCAATAAATTTTATTTTAATTTATTTAAAAATGTTTTTAAGCAAAAAAATTATTAAAAAAATCATTTTATCATACCATATCATTGTTTTAAAGTTGTAAGGGTTATATAAACGTTTTTTGACATTTTTATATAGTTCTGTAGTGAAGTGTTGAAAAATCTTTCTATGCTAAGTAACTATTACTTTTAAGTTTAGCTTAAAGACAAAACTAAACATTATGTAGAATATTATATATAAAAACGCACTTCAACTATGTATAGAAAAAGAATATATTTACCAAATTAATGCAATAAGACCGTCACGAGAAAAAGTTAAGAAGTTTTTTCTAGGCTTCGGATCAGACTTAATAAAACTATAAATATATTAAAAGTAAAGATAATGATAAAAGTTTTATAATTATTTTTTTTTTAAAGAGAGCTTTAGATGATAGTATTAAAATGTAACAAAGTACGTTACGATCATCACGCTTTATTTATTTTTCCATAAGGGCTTCTTCACTTTTGAATAAAAAAGTTAAGCGCAAATGATTTTATTATTGAAACCAAAAGTTAAAAATCAATTTCATTTCATTTCCAGTTTGTTTACTCATTATATAACTAAGCTTGTTAAAGTATTCAAAAAATCGATGTAAAGAAATTATTATTTGTTAAGAAATAAAAACTTTTAACAAGAAGTAAACTTTTTTTAATTAAAACACTTTATATAGTTTGCATTGCAATGTTTTTGTTCATTTGATTTTGCGTTTTTATTATAGATAAACTTCGCTCGTTTTTTTTTAAATCTTAGCGGAACGTAAATCTCAAAGGGAAGCTGTTATATTTTATAAAATTTTTTAAAATGTCTAAATCAGATGCTGAAAAATCGAAAGCTTATAGAGCAAGAAAAGCGTTGTTGGTAAAAGAAAGAGAAGTTATCAAAGAAGGCAGTTCTTAACACCAAGAAAAGAAAACAAGCACTAAAATCAAGCGAAAGTTTGCAACCAAAGGTTAAGAATGAAAAAAAAACTTGAATTCATTGCTAACATCAATTTGAATGTTACGCCTGATAATTCTTATAAATGCAAATTGTCAATGACAAAAGCATTAAACAAGTATTAAATATGTTATTCGCATAATTTTTTTAATTCGCATAATTTGAGTTTTTTTATATTAAACTTATATTAAAATTTTTTAGGACAAAACAGGCTCTTCCAAAGTCTTCAAATAAAAAACGAACTATTGTAGAACAGTTAGGTGTTGAATATGGCTTACGCACTACTAAAGAAACCATGCGAGTTCGCATCACATCAGAACAAAATGAAAAAGTAAAAGCTTTTTTTAAAAAAGAAGATATATCAATAATGTCTCCTGGAAGAAAAGATTGTATCAAAATTGACAAAAAGGTTCGAAGGCGCTATTTAGTTATAAATCTAAAGGAGCTACATCAATTGTATTGTCAAGAGAATGCCAGCAAAAATGTCAAATTAACTAAATTTTATTAACTATGGTCTAGGTACATTCTTACATGCCAAGACACACCGCTTGAATCATGTGATTGTTTGAATTGTGTGCTGCTTTGGCAAGTAAAATACATTTTCCATTGTATTGCAATAAATGGTTAGAAAAATATGTATTGTGCAAGCCACCTAGATCCCAATGTTGGATAATAAAATGTTCTATGTGTAGTAATTGTAAATTATTTACACTTGCTTTGCCCAAAAACGGAGACATGGATCCAATCATCACCTATAGTGATGATTGGATCATCTTTTATCCATTTATAGGTGGATAAAAGATGATAATCGTTGTGTACTCAGTGAACATAAAAAAACATAAAAGACATCTATAAACATTTCTGCAACTGTTTACCAGATTTTACTGAGCATCATCTAACTAAAAAGCACCAGTCTGAGTCACCAAATCTCGAACCAGACCAAATTTTCATACACTTTGATTATTCATGAAACTATACATGTGGATATCAGGATGCTGTTCAAGCTGTTTATTGGTCCTAGTCTACTATTACTCTGTTTACAGTTGTTATCTATCGTTACCAATTAGAACCAAAATCAGTTGTAATAGTATCCAATGATAATAATAAAACAAAGCGTGCCACTACTACTTTCTTAAGTGAAATATTTGACCTCTATTGCATTGATTATATAAAAAAGTTATATTATAGAGTGATGGTCCTTGCACTCAGTTCAAAAATCGTTACATGGCCAAATTCATATAATATTGCTCTGCGAAACATCATTTCCAATCAATAAGTGGAATTTTTTTTCTACCTCTCACGGTCAAGGAACAGTTGATAGTGTAGAAGGATTGTTAAATGATAGTGTAGAAGTGATTTGTTTGGAACAGTGTAAAATCTCGCAAATATTATTGTCTTAAATGCAAAAGATTTCCTCTTAGCATCAAATGGTTGCAAAACTTATGTAAGGCTAATCAACACAGATGGCATTGATCTAAAATTAGGGCCATTATAGCTGACCAAATTGACGAAGCAAAAGCTGTTAAAAATATTACTAAAATGAATTTCTGGCAAATAAAAAATGGAAAGTTTTTGATTTCAAAATTGATGAATACTATTTAATGGACTAGTAAAACAATGTTAAAATTAATATTTTTACTTTACTGAAAGAATTATTTTATAAACTTATGTTGGGAACAGGGAACATTAACCATTTAAACTTAAGTAAAGTAATAAAGTATAAATAAATATAGCAGCATACCTTTAGTTGCTTATTTCAAATTTAACAAACCCAGTATCAAAAAACCATATTTTATAAATTTGATAACGTTATTAAGTTTATACTTTTACATAGTTTACATAGTTTTTATAATTATTCATCTTTTTTTTGATTGCGTTGTTTTATTTGTTGTTTTTTAAAATTAGATTTTTTGTTATGACCATCATGGTTACGACCATCACGACAAAAAAAAAAATAGAAATGCTTATAAAACATCAAGTAAAAACTATGAAACTCAGCATATAATAACATCAATATGTGCTAAATACACACACCAAATGATTTTTTTTTACCATGCTGCTCGCTGCAATTAGTCTGACAAAGTTAATTTGTTCAGAAGTGGTAAAAAGTAAACATTAAGACCATCACGCTACGCAGAAAAAGTTTGAGAAAAAGTTCAAGACTTCAATACTGTAACTTTTGCATACTAAATTATGTAATAGTATTCCACAATTGCGAAATGTTTTAAGTCATTTCTGATTTTTGTTTATTTTTAATAGCTTAAAGAACGTCAAATGTTACGACCTCAGTTTATTTGGGGATACCGTTTTTTTTTCAG